GTACTAGTATGTGACATCTAAATATAACATGATTGCACAGTACTAGTATGTGACATCTAAATATAACATGATTGCACAGTACTAGTATATGACATCTGATGGGATAGACATGTGATTGCACGGTACTAGTATGTGACATCTAAATATAACATGATTGCACAGTACTAGTATGTGACATCTAAATATAACATGATTGCACGGTACTAGTATGTGATATCTGATGGGATAGACATGTGATTGCACAGTTCTTGTATGTGACATCTTATAGGATAGACATGTGATATTCAAACTTATGTTCTTGTGTTTGTATCTCTACAGAATGGTGGCATCAACTATTTCTTCATTGAGGACTGGCAGATGGTGAATGAGTTTCGCCATGTTGTGGGAATACGCAAAATCTTCCCAGATCCCAGTGGCTCCCGAGTCATCTTTGTTGACGACAAAAGTGATGGTTTCGTTTACAATCCGGTGAGTTTGAAAAATGTAGCAGATTAGTGAAAATCTTTGACATTGTTAGAACAGGGATATGACTTTTTTTGTGGCTCTGTCACACTTCACCTTCCATTCAGTAATTCCCTGGCTATAATTTATTTTCAAACAAATGCACTTTTCTCATTCATAAAGACAAGTCTCGGGCTAAGATTGATCATCAATATGATGCATGTATATTTTTTTTACATAATTAACGATTAGGGTTTCCATGCCAAAAGTGTCCTAAAAATGGTTGAACTTCACCACATACTCTGTACGCACATTGATATTGAACACATTTTTCATGTATATACAATATTAAAATTTGATAAGTCTTAGACACATATTAAAAAAAACACCACAGTCTTATGAAATATTTTCCTAGCATTTTTAATATTCAGACATAGCTTGTCGGTACAAAACGTACAGTGTAAAAGCTCGGCTACCATTGGCTTTGGCTATTTGTATTTTGTAACATGTATAATACAATATATATGGACCATCTAATTCATTGTACATGTATATCTTAAAATCATAGATATTTCCTTACTCTTGAAAACTAGTTCTATTTTTTTTGTTTCCAAACAAATTAATGCTAAGAAAATATATGAATTCAAGTACAAACTCTTTAAGACTTATAATAATTGGAACAAAATGAGAACTTGTTCTCAGTTTTGTGTGTGTATTTTATTCGATTTTAAAGAAATAAAATCTCAAATATTATTTGACAACTTAATATATTTTATTAATGTATTCACAGTTCAATACAATCATATTATACTGTAACTGAAATTATGAATTATGTAAATGACAATTTTTAAGATTTTGACAGTTCAAATTTGTTATTGCTTTTCTCAAGAAGTACTTGACAGGCATTTCATATTTTATGTAGATTTCCTTTGTTAAAAGAAGTATATAGTTGCAATTTATTTTAAAGTTTATGGATATTGTTTTTATTTGTTTTCAAAGTAAAAAAAGTCATTTTTGAATTTGAATGTTACAATAGACCACATATCTTTACAGGTGAATGACCAGAATCTAGAAATCCCCAAGTTTTCCCCGACCACAAAAGGTGCCCTGTGGGAGATGTGGACAGCAGATAAGGTAAATTAGATACAGCTTACATTGATTTGAGAGTATGCAAGAAATGTTAACTAATGGTAAGGGCCATAATAGATCAGGGGAGACAATGTCACAAAGAATTAGTTTTGCAAAATATAACATCAGTAAGTGTAGTTTCCTAGTATCAAGTATGGTATCCAAAAGACAGTAACCCTGAGTGACAGGCAGTGTAAGGGACAGAGGAGACTATATATAGA